TGTGTGTGTGTGTGTGTGTGTGTGTGTGTGTGTGTGTGTGTGTGTGTCAGAGAGAGAGAGCGAGAGAGAGAGAGAGAGAGAGAAAGAAGAGGGAGAGAGACTGGAAGATCACAGAACTTCCTTTTTCATTCACATATAATCATAGAATTCCCCCAAAAACCAGGAAGAAAAGAGGAAGTGACACTGGAAAATCTTGATATGAAATATGTGGGGGTGGAGGTTGTATTGTTTGGTCCATGAGTGCTCATAGAAGATGGACTGATTTTACATCTATCTGAAAAACTCATACCATCCTTTCATTGGTCTAAGTCCTGGCTTCAGAACCAAGTTTCATTTTACTCACAGTCCCTCTGTCTTTTTAACTTTTCAATGATAGAATCCTATCACAGATTTGAATGATTTTCTTTTTTTTTTTTTTTTCATTTAAAAGCAATGACAAAACTTACCCCAAGAAGATGCCACTACTCTCTAGTGGCACTTTGTCATCCTTACCTAGGACATTGTGCATTACTACACTTGAATCTTTACACATATGAAAGAATCTCGACACTTGTTCAATCAAGATAATGATAAAATTACACAAACTCTATTTGGAAGGTCTCCACAACTATATTTTACAATACTAAGACATTAGGCTTCGGGGCTTCTTGACACCCATTTTATTAGTCCGTTTTTACACTGCTATAAAGAATACCTGAGACTGGGTAATTTATCGAGAAGAAAGGTGTAATTGACTCACAGTTCCTCATGGCTGGGGGAGGCCTCAGGAAACTTACAATCATGGCAGGAGGCAAAGAAAAGCCAAGGCACATCTCACCTTGCAAGAAAGTGAGAGAGCACACAGGGGAAACTGCCCTTTTAAACCATCAGGTTTCATGCAAACTTCCTCAGAATCACAAGAACAGCAGAGGAAACTGCCCCGTGTTCCAATCACCTCCCACCAGGTCCTTCCCTCAACACTTGGGGATTACAGTTCGGAGATTTGGGAAAGGACACAGAGCCAAACCATATCACCCATAAAGGATAAAATTAGGGGAGCTGTGAGATGGTCATAGAAAGGATATTTTATCAAAAATGTTTAGATATTTGTAGTCTAAGGATTCTGTGATCTTTACTGGTCAAAGTAAAACTCCCAATAAAAACGTTTCAGTAACTTCTTTGATTCTGAATATTTACAAAGTGAGTCTCCTTTGAAATATGTTAGATAAAGGCAAGGAATGACCTTTAAATTAACCAACACTTTAGCTTTTCTATACCCTGGTTTCTGTTATTGTTAAGATTTTTTTTTCCTCTAAATAATCTTTTTGCTTTGTAATCCCAAGAGAAAAGATAGGCAAAAATGCATGCCCCAAACACTCGTATAGATCAGTGTGTCTCAAAGTAAGATCCAAGATACCTGTATGAGAATCCCCTGATATTAAGTTCCACTCAGAGCTATCAAATCAGAACCTCTGGGGGTGCATTTTAACAAATTCTTCTGCTGGTTAGTTGACCTTAAAACTGTACTTCAAATTTTGATCATTTTCTGAGATAGCAATATGCTGTAAGATATTCTCTCTCAGTGCTGAGCAGTGATAGCGAGCCACAACTCTCAGTCAGCCACACAATCATGAGGATAAACAACCGATATTATACAGCAGCAGTTCCCAATTTGGCACAAGCGACTACTTTAATGGACGACAATTTTTCCACAGCCAGGGGGTTGAGCGGATAGTTTCGGGATGAAACTGTCCGCTCAGATCATCAGGTATTAGCTAGATTCTCATAAGGAGTCCTCAGCCTAGATCCCTTGCGTGTGCAGTTCACAATAGGGTTTGCTCCTATGAGAAACTAATGCCACTGATGATCTGACAGGAGGCAGCGCTCAGGCAGTAATGCTCACTTGCCTGTCACTCACCTTCTGCTGTGCCGCCCAGCTCCTAACAAGCCAGGGACTGCTACCAGTCTGTGGTCCAGAGTTTAGGGACCCTGCTCTACAGTGTGCTGTGTTGCTAGATGATTTTGCCTAATTGTAGATTTATGGAAGTGTTCTGAGGATGTTTAAGGTGGGCTAGGCTAAGTTATGATATCCAGTAGGTTAGACGTATTAAACATATTTTCAACTTTTAATATTTTCAACTTATTGTGGGTTTATGTGGTTTTAACCTCATCATAAGTCAAAAAGCATCTGTATTGACAAGCACTGACTAATGTATTCTGACCATAGTCCCTCTCTTTATATTACACCTGTCCTAGGAAGTGTGGCTATTCTACCCTCTAGTAGCTGGCATGACAAACAGAAGGCGTATTCTCCACATTTTCTTTTTATTTAAAAGGAAAGCTCAA